ACGCGCTGCCTGAAGGGCCGATGCAGCTGGATGATGAAGACACTCACCGCAGAGAGCAGGCGTGCAGGGAGAGGTTTTTGCAAGTGTTTCCTTGGGCAAAGGTGAAACTTGAGGAGCGCGTGGCTCAGCTCTCCCTGCATGCAAAGGAGGTCGACAAGGTCCACAGAAACTTTAACTGGGGGAACATAATTTTTGACATCTGCAGCATCGTTGGCAGCTCCCTCACTTTCATTGGCCTGAGTCTGCCATCACTTTCCCACGAGTTCCGTGTGTGGTTGTCTGAAATTGGGGTATTAATTGGGTTATGTGCTGTTCTGGCCGGCATGTTCAGCAACTACCTGGAAAAGAAGTACATCAAATTATTTAAGCCCAAAGAAGGATGCCTGGCATTTTGCAAAAACCACTTTTGTGAGCTGGTGTGTCAAATGCCAGCGGATATCATAGAAAAATGTCGCTCACTAACAGAGTGCCTCAAAAAGTGTTTCCCTTGCATGAGATGTCACAGCCCAAACACAGGCTTGCCCAAGGACAAGGATGGAATGGTGACTGTTGCGTCCAACCGAATGCCCTCGTACAAAAACATCGAGACCCTCAGGGTTCTCTTCGGCACCACTCCTGACGTGTTGATCTCAGCCGCCAAGTGGATAAGTGGCATCGCGAATTTTGTTTTCCTGCTGCTGGATATGGCCAGCCTGTTCCTAAAGTTAAGTCACTGGTGGCATGGGGCGAAGTCCGAGTTGGCCACAGAGCTGGAGCAGCAGGCCAGGCAACTGCAGAGGGTACTGGACGTGCTTAGCCAGGCCCAGGGGAATCTGCACAAGGGCCTGTCCCCCTGACTTCGCCGTGCAGGGGGCAGGGACAGGTGTGCCACGGGAGGAGGGAGCCTGGGAGGGACAAGAGGGTGGCAGTCTACGCACGGGGATGTTAAGGAATTTGCGTGTCTGTGCTGCGGGTGTGGAGTGGGGGCCATGCCGGTGGCGGGTGGACAAAGAGGAGGCGGGACTCAACCTGGGAGAAGGGAGGAGACTGGACAGTGGGGGTGGGAGAGACTGTGCGTTTGGACTGGACACACGGGGCAGAAATGTGGGGGAAACTGAGGACTCTGAGTGAATGCGAGAAGGTGAGAAGCCACAGCGCCTCCTCTGGGGAATCTCCCTCGGTTTACTGCCCCAGCTGGAATGCCGTGTCTGCTCGGCCCAGCGTCCACTGCCCTCTGTGTCAGGCCTTTACCTGCTCAGGGCTTCTTGGCGATGCTGCTGATGGTGCCTGTGGAGGAGTCAGAGCGACTGGGGCTCTCTTCACCTCCAGCCTCAGCCTGAACAGCTGCGACCTGTGGATGTGCCGCTGTGGGCACCCACGGGAGAGCGTGGGCATGCGTATAAATAACCCCTGGGCCAGGCCCCCTGGGAACAGGGCTCCGTATCACGCTGGGCGGGGGTCCGCTGCCTCCTCCGTGCCTGGGCTGCCTGGTGCCTGGCCCCCTGCGTCAGCCTTGAAGGGCTGTAAAATCTACCGAAGTCTCCAGAATTCTCTTTTGCGTGCCCTATCGACAGTGAACCTTCCCGGCCTGAGGGTGGCGCAGCTGTGGTGCTGGTCAGTGGCGGGACAGCAGAGGGGTACTGTGTAAGTCATTTTGTTTCGTCCTTTGGGGCCAGGTGCACTGACACCTTTGAAGCTGCAGCGAAACTCCAGAGGCCGTGCTGGAGCAGAGGCTCATTTGAAACAAACAAAAGGACCATGAAACCGGAAAGAGTCCAGAACTAGCAGTGTGTCAAGCCAGCCTGTTTGCGTCAGACCGTACAAGCTCGCGCATGGCTGCGGCCCCTGGAGGGCCGGTGTGGGACGAGATGGTATTTCAGATCTGTTCAGCCCTCCGTTTGTTTCACAGACTGAATGATCATGGCTGTTCCTTGTGGACTGAGTGATGGCCATGTCCCGGCCCCCCAGCTCCCCATGAACATGGGAACAGAAAGGGCTGAGACTGACGTGTTTGCAAGTGTGAGCGAAGGTCAGTGATGACTGGAGAGCAGTCAGTCACATAGCAGCGTTCTCGTCCAGGGCCCCTATTTCACGTAGCCTCTGCCGAGCTCCCGGAGTCTCCTGAGTGGATGGCTCTCTCCCTGCCCCTCCTGCACACCGGCCATGTGCTCCTTGAGCTCAACTTAGATTTTAAGGACTAATTTTGCACATGCAATTGTGGGTACCTGGTTGGCATTTGTGTTCCCCACACGTGGTCTTGCAGAGAACCAATGCCCACTGGAGTGGGGCCACAGGGCATGGGAGCAATGGTGAGACGCTCTTGCCTCACTAGCAGGGTGAACCTGGGGGTGATTCCATGAAGTTTCCTCAGAAGACTTGACCACCTGATAGACTTAATCACCCACCAAATCATAAATATGTTTTGTATCAACTGTCTCTCCTTCCTTCCCTGCGCTCCTTCTCCCCATCCTGCTCCTGGGGGCCGCTCCTCCTTACCCCCTGTGCATGTGGACCTTGCTTATTCTCCTGTCCCAGGGGCCCCTGCGTTGCATGGAGACCTTATGGTTGTAAGTCATGCCAAGTTGGGTGCCCATTGGAAATGGGTGTTTCGGATGCTCTTTTACCTGATATTCTGTACCAGTGTGGAGGGCAGGGGCATGAGGGAAGACCCTCCCAAAGCTCTCACAGGAGTTGGAGGCAACAAGATGGTGGCTGGGTGAGGACATCGCTTTCTGGCTGTCACTCTCACTCTGGGTCTCCCAATCACTGACCTTCTCTCACAGCCACAAACAAGATCTTTCTCAGACTCCTCTGCAGGTGTCAGCCTGGGACTCAGGGGAACCCACAATCAACACATGTGGCACAGAGTGTCGCTATATTTGCTGAGCCAGTCTGTGAAACGCAGGATGTGGAGCACCAAACGGATGTGAAATATCATCTTGTCCAGCACCCCCTCCCAGCAAACGGTGAGGAAAGGGAGACGCTGACAGGCTGTGTAGGATGCACAGTTGTTGTGCCCAGTCACCCCACCGCTTGATCTGTTCGCAGACCGGCCCGCGGAGAATGGGAGAAGCTGGCCTCAGAGGCAGTTCCCTTCTCGGCGAACAGGTGCGTTGTGCCCACTCCTGCTTCGCTGAAAGAATGAAAACACGTAGCTACTTGGTTTGCTAGGCCACAAGAATCCGCAGCTCGGTGGGCCGAGGCTATAATAACTCTCCCATGAGAAAAAGCAATACTGATAGCCTTTGTTAAGTTTTAGTAACAGCAACTGGATGTTCCTTAGGTAACAAATGGTTGCCTTCTATCGAAAATAAGCATGGTGTTCTGGGACGCAGTTAATTATGTAAACTAGTACTTTGATATAGTAACATCTTACTGTAATAAGTTTCCCCTCCCTGCGAAGCAGACTCAATCACACACTGCGCTATATTGTTCTCTTTGTATTTCTTGTATGATCAAAAAAGTGTAAACGTCATAGGCATCGAGCAGTAATGCCAACTTTTACCATATAATAGCCCCACTGTCTGGACAATAAACGGAGCAGTTTCTCCAAGCTTTGGGGTGCGCCGTCTCTCATTTCTCTCTTACAGAACCTCAGCGCAGACACTTTCTCCACCCTCTTCAAAACAAAGTTGGGGCTGGTCCCCGACACAGAATCACTCAGGTAAGCAAAAATAATTTTATGAACTGCAGGTATACATGAAGTTGAGACATTAAAGTGGCTCCTGTCAGACCTGGACACTTCCATGACCAGAAGGGAAGTGGTCATGTTGCGCACAGCTCTTAGCCGTCTGAATTACCTTCCTCACTAATGTCGTGGTTGGTTTCCTTTGCCAAGAAGTGAACGTGCAAAGCAGTTTTTAATAACGATAATAAACTGCATGCTGCCTAGTTCAGATCTGCTGAAAAACAAGGGTGAGCTGATCCTGGAGAGGTCAGGCCGGACACCAGCCCAGGCCATTCTTGCTCGGACAGCAAACCGAGTGAAGGTCAGCAGAGGAGGCCCGTTGCTTCTCCTGTCCCCCAACAGTTCTCCCATTTCAGTTATTGTTGCTGCCTTCCTATTTCTTGTCCCTTCAGGCCCCCTTGTCATGCCCAAGGGACTTCTTAAGTTTAAAATAGAAGGTTCCTCCCACAGCGGCCCCTCTGTTGACCTTCACCTTCTTCCAGGCTCCGATCTTCTCTTTGACTCATCTGCCTTCTGCGTTATCTCCTCGCTTGCTATACTCGGGACAAAAATGCAAACCTCCTTGTCAGTTACTGCTATGAAGCAAATCTAAAGTTTAGTAAAAGAAATTTATGAGTGAGTTTATTCAGAGTCAAACTGATAATCAGGGCCAGGAGGACAATATCAGATTTCTCTAAGTGCCTGGTTTCCTCCCCAGAGTCTTCGGCCATGTTTTCTGTAGGTAAAGTTACATGCCCAGGAAGAATACATGATTGCTTTTTCTTAACAAAGGAAAGGAGACACCGACCTAATTTCTACCATTTTCAGTTAACTACAGGAGGTTGGCTTCTCTAACAAATTGAATTCACGGATAAAGGAGAAACACTGCACAAAATCACTTCCAAAGAATCAGCTGATCACACAGAGCTAATTCAGAGTTCTTTGTATTTGAAAAGATGGAAGGACTTAGCCTAAGTTGCCCCTGTAGCCACGAGGGTGCAGCCAGGTGGTTCTCTCATTTTCTCTCTTCCTGCGACTCACAAACACCAGGAGCAGTTTGAGGGCGGCGGGAGCCTCCCGTCCTTTTTGACCCTTGGTTTCTCACCCAGGACGCTTCACAGTGAACCAGCCACTGTTCTGCTGACTCCAACCTCTAGGGGGCGCTGGCGGGCAGAGGCAGACGCAGACCTGGGCCTAGAGAACAAACTGGAGCATTGCTTTTTCTTAGTTCACAGCCTTAGCGCCCTGCTGCATAAGCTTCATCTCAAACTCTTTGTCTCTCTAACAAGGGAGCTCCACTCTGTCCCCCACCAGCCTCTGCTCCCTGCACTGCCCGGGGGAGGGGAGTCCGGTCCTACTGCAGACTATCATAGATCTGGTTGAGCTTCTGCAACATGGTCTCCAGCTCCTGGGCCTGCTGCATCAGCTTCTCAGACAGCTCCGTCTTTGTTCCTTGTTGCAAATACTTGGAATCTTGTATGAGACTCATCACGTCCATCAGAAGGAAGAAGCCTGCAGTGGCGCCGCTGAAGAACCGGGCTCCCGTGCCCATCACCTTGCTGGTGGTCCCAGCGGTGCTCTCTGCCAGCCTGCCACTCTGGATCAAGATTTCAGCCGCGATGCCCAGGTTGATCTGGGTCAAATTGATGGAACGCACATATTTTGCAATGCGGTATACCACCAGGAAACTGTTTTTTAAGAAACCAAACTGGGACGTGTTATCATTCAGAATGTTCTTGGCCAGCTGCACTATGTCGATGTCAGTTGATTCCAGGTGATTGGCTTCAGCTTCTACAGACGACTTGTTGACATGTTTCACGATGCTGGTGGTCACACTGGTGACGGCCGCCGCCGCTCCCAGGCCAAGCCCTGTTGCTGTCAGCGCCAGGCTGGCCCCAGCAGTAAAGGATATCACTCCCAGGCCGAGGATGGTGAGGATGCCAGAGATGATGCCAGTGGAGTGGGCTACTGCACTGGAGATGGTGCAGTCCCTGTGCACCTTGTTGGTCCGGCCTGCGAGCTCACGGAGCTGGGCTATGTGCTCCTCGAGCTGCACTTTGACCCGGGGGTACACCGCCAGGAACTTCTCCCTACACTCCTCCTCCTCCTGGTGCATGTCTTCATCATTCATGGCCTTGGCTTTTTTCAACTTCTTCAGCTCTTCATGTAGTGCGTCGGCCTCATCCCTGTAACAATGAAGGCCACAGGTTAAGAGGCAGGGCTCAGGTCTACCTGCAGAAATCATCTAGCTTTAATCTACATCAATCTGTAAAGAACTTTTCTATCAACAGAAAATGTCTTGTCCAAGATAAATGCTGGCTGGTGCTGGTTCGCGTCAAAGAATGAATGATGAGTCAGCCTAAGATGCCCGCCACTGTAGCTACCAGATGATGACACTTTCTTACTCAAGGGCAGGCCCTCTCTGTCACCACAGCAGGTGTGAGCAGAGCCGGAACCATGTGGGGGGACAGAGAAGTGGGGTTGGAGCAGACACAGCTTTATTCAAAGAACCCGAGTGTGCCGTGAAGCGTGAGGCTGACCCATACACAGACCTGTCTTGGTCCCTTGGCTGCGGGTGGGGTCTCCAGGGTGTGAGCAGTCCTGTTTGACAGGGACGGTTTTGCTTGCCCGAGTCTCGGGCCACAGAACAGTCTAGTGATATGTGATGGGGACTTAGAGTTGTGTGCTATCAGTCAGCACCTTTGAGAAGAACTCGAGGCCACAGGTCAGCCATGGCTGGCTGAGACCCAGCCCCAATCAAATCCTCTACTCTGAGGCTTGGGTTTAGAAAGACTGTCTTTGAGCAAACTTAGTCTAGCTCATCTGAATCTTTGATTAGGTCTTGACCGTCACTTCTGTATCCTGTTCTTGTTGACTTGCATTGCCAGTCCTAGTTGGAATCCTGCTGAGTCAGTTTAGTATGAATCTCCTACTCTTGACAGCTCATTTTGCTTAAGATCTGACCACGTTGGTCATATGCTTATTGAACAGATGACACTGATCAGAGTATAAACTCAGAGCTCGAGAGCTGGGCAGGGCAGACCGGCATCTCCCAACTCCTCGCCAGCACTGCCCCGTAAAGACCAGACGGACCTCGCAGTGTTTGTGAGATCCTTTAGATGGGGAGAAAAGGGCTCCAGGCAGAATCCCCAGGAAGACACAATGGTTATGTCTTATTTTTCTGATTTGTCACAAAGGAAGTTCTGCCTGCCTCTTCTCTCTAGAAAGAAGACTCCAGACCTGTCTCTCCCCAGCAATCCTGTAAGCAGTTAAGATTAATTGAGCACTTATTATGTGTCAGTCCTTAGTCTAATCTGCTAATCTGCAAAACCTGATTTTCTTCATAACAACATTGACCAGTTAAAGAAGCCAAGACAGATCCCAGATGCTCCTAGTGACCTGAGCGGTCTGGTCTGCTGCTGCCCGGAGCACAAGTCCTTGCCCAGGAAAAGGACAAAGCTTGTGGGCTGACCATCTACCTCGGGCGCGCAGCGAGGGAGGAGCGGAGTGATTGGAGCAGGTGAGGGCACGTTGGGGAGCAGGGTGGCAGTTTGTGGGTGGAATATTGGTGGCTAGGCCGCACCGAAGGGGAACGAAAACTACATAAGGTGACCGACAATGTAAGAAAATCAAAAGATTGAAATACACACACAAGAAGAGAAATGAAGGCAGAGAGTGGGTAAGCCAAGGTCCCATACCCTGCCCCGCCCCCATGCGTCCTGCTCAACCCGAGGCCATTCGCTGCCAGCAAATGCCTAGGGGGTTGTTGACATGGGGCAGTCTCAACCCCAAGCAGCACAGGGGTGGGGTGGGGGGCCCAGGCCAGCACAGAACAGCTGGGTGACACTCTTGAGGTGCCCCCTAGAGCTTACCTGGACAAGTGGGCCTCCGTCACAAATGTCTCCCAGACGTTATCTTCCTGAAGTAGCGTCTGCAGGTCCTCTCTGCTCACCGTGCATAGCACGTAGTCAATGACTTCTTTAAGAAAGTTGCTCTCTTGGTAGAAAGAACAAACAAACAGAAGGTTGAGGTGGGGAGAGAACGGGGCTGTGTCTCAGGGGTTGTGGTAATCTCCCTGAGCCGCTGCAGATGGCACTCTGGATGGTGCCAGGACCGAGCTGTGCCCTCAGCAAATGAATACGCTCCAGTCCTAACCCCAGACTGACTGCATTTGGGGTGCGTTTAGAGATGGGGGTGGCAGAGCTGGACTGGGGCTCCCTTCAGCTGCCTGCTGTCCCTTGTGGAGGTCAGAATGGCCTCACTTGTAGCGCTTCAAAGGGGGGAGGGTTTGGATGACAGGGCAGAAGCTACCTGCTCTCCTGCCATGGTACCCCACCCATCCTCAGGGGCCCATGCCTCCTCCCCACCGCCCTGTGGACTATCTGGCCTCACTCCTGGGTCATCTGCTGAGCAACAGGGGGAACAAGGAAGCCAGCAGCTTGTCGTGGCACCCTGAGGAGATGCGAGGAGATGTCCACACAGACCCTTGGGTTGAGGATGACTCATGACTCTTGACCCCCCTTGGGGATTTGAGGTTACTCATTATCCCCTTCTTGGTTCTTGATGCTTGAGTGGTTGCTTCAGCCGAAGGCACCGCCCTCTGTTCTAAGTCCCAGCGGTTGCCAGCTGGGAGGAGGAAGTTGACCGACTACCTTGGTGGCCCGTGGGGCTGTCTTGGCTCATGGTGTCGGCACCGGCGCTCAGGTTGCTCAGATGGCCTTTGGTAGCTCACTTTTTTCCCCCGGGCTGGGAAGATGTTACTTCAGCCTAGGTGAGGATAAAGTCAATTGTAAAGTCACGTGTGGAGAAAACCATCCCAAAGTGTAGGTTTTCACCTACACTTAGGGTGGTTCAAGGTGTAGTAATCATGGCAGACCCAGGACTTGAGCCCAAGACTTCCTGATTCAAACTCCGTGTTTGTGCAGACGGCACTCTCCTCTCTTTGCACACAGAAATGCTAACTCGTGTGCACACTCTCGGTAAATGACTCCTTCCCAAAGGACAGCGTGCACTCCCAACACCATTTCTGCTGACAAATTTTCTGGTGCCACAATTTCCCAAAAACTCTATGCTCCTGCTTCTGCAAGACCCTTCAACTCAGAGGGGATAGTGGTCCCACTGTGGACAGCACAGCCTTCCTGATGGAGTCCAGGCTCACTACAAGACCCTTCAACTCAGAGGGGATAGTGGTCCCACTGTGGACAGCACAGCCTTCCTGATGGAGTCCAGGCTCACTACTGTTCTCCCTCAAAACGCCGGGCATTACAGGCCTTCAGAAAAGAAAGCAAAGGATGACAGAAGAAATGGAGCTAACTGGTGAATAGATGTTTTCTTCCACAGTCATTTCTAAGAAAGTTACCTGAGAATGAGCTATAGGAGAAGAAAAAGGAGAAGGGAGAGGAGGGCAGGCGGGGAGGAGGGGGAGGAGGAGAGGGGAGGGGAAGGGGGAAGAGGGCAGAGGAGAAAGGAGGAGGGGAGGGAAGGGCCTTGTCTCCCAAATTTGCCGGGGAGCTAGCTGGACAAACGCGTTCGAATCTGAGCTGTGCCACCAGCTGGCGACCTTGTGCTGTTAGACCATCTGTGCCAAGACCAGGCGAGGGCGCCGCCTTCTCCCTGCCGGCTTACCGGGAATGTGCCCTGTCTGGGGTGGAAGGAACTCTGGGTCTTCTTAGTGCAGGTCCAGCTTCCAGCGGTGCGTCTCTGTCATGACCGGATACATCCTGGGATACTTGGGTACCTGGAACCCACGAGGCAAACAGAAACTCAGCGCGCCTGAAGCCTCCGGGTCCCACAGGGCGCTGCGGCAGCCTGGGAGAGACGCTGTGAAGCCTCAATAGAGTTCCTGAAATACTCCATGAAATTTTTTCCTTTCCTTATGGGAAAAGCTTTAGACAAACTTGACCTACTGTATTAATCTGGAACATTGAACATCTGGGAAAATTGAAAATCTGGGAAGTATTATAGCTTGAAGGTAATGTTTTACCTTCCCATACATATGAATGTTAACATCGGTGTTGTAAAATGTGTGAGAATTCTTAAGTGTCTAATTTGTCCTGATATATTATTGTTTCTCAATTCTAGTTCTTGCTCTGCAACATTGGAAGTTATAATGCTGAACAAACTTCCTTGTCCACTATGCTATTACATCTTGAATTTTGGTTATTTCAGATTTTTAACATTTACAGATTTTTTTTTCTAACAGGAGAAAGAATGTAACGATATTTTAAGACCCTGCTAACTGATAGAACTCAAGATTGAGAATTTTCTACAAAGCACAGTATGGACCTGGTGAGTTTTTGCTTGAAATGTTACTAGGTTTTGTTTTGGTTTCTGTGGTTCTTTGTTTTTTGTTTTTTATTCAAGGCAAACTTTCTTTTAGCTGACCATAATCTGCAGCAACATTAAATTACTTTTTTGTGAGCAGAAGTAAATGGTGTTTGTACTTTCTCCTTGATGCCACCATAATATGGAAAAGTAATAAGTATTCTTATACTTGTGGCAATGTATTTATCTGAATAATTTCAATAAAGAGTTTAATTTCTCCTTTGAGAATCAGAAAATGGTTGAGTTGCTTAGGCTTTGATTGCATTGTCCAGGTGGGACCGGTTGGAAGTTGATACTGAGCAAAGAAGAAAGAAAAATCGCAAGGTTCCAGAGCTCTATCAGGAGAGTAGGGAGCCTACCTTTACTGGGGGCCTGGGGACCCCAGAGGAAAAAACTCTTGGGAAACTTGAGAAGAGAAAATCTACCTAAAGGTAGAAATGTTGCAGTCAGAATCTGGTGAGACTCCCAGGGCCTGGACAGCCCAGATGTTGAGAGCTCAATTTAAGGTCCCTTGTGGAATGTTTCAACAAAGACGACAGAAATTTGACTTGGTTATCCTGTTCTCTGAGTTTATACAAAAGAGATCAAATTGAATCAGTTAGACTTAGCTTACAGATGCTAAATCTTAAGCATTTTGAGTTTTGCTTTCACTTTTGGCTTCCAGATTGACTATTTCTAGAAACAGAAAACTTTGCCACACTGAGTAGGCCTAGATAATGTCTTATGTGTGCTTGTCATGTTTTTGAACCCCCTGAAGCCCGCCAGTAAACTGTCCTCTGAGATCACACCCCAGCATCTGACTTTCCTCGCCATTAGAAATGTTGAATGAAATTGAAAGTGGAGAAATTGTACGTTGGTCAGTGAGGAACAACCTCGGAGCCAGTAGGGAGCGCTCACAGCCAAAGCAAGGGTAGCTGATCGCGCTTTCCAGGCTCCATCCCCTGATGCCCTGCAGGGCTGATGGGAAATAGAGGTGCAGCTGGCACTTTGGCCAAGCTCTGGGGCTTTGTCAATTGAGCATCTGGGGCTTCAGCACAAGGAGTGCTGGTGGAGAAGTGGGAGCTGGCAATGTGTGACTGCAGCTAGGGTCCTGTTCTCTGCTCATTGGACTCATGGTGTTTGGCCATGTGCCACCAATCACCTCTCTCCCCTCTCCCTTTTCTCTCTGCGTATGTAAATCAACATTGCAGTTATTCTTCCCAGGTGCCTGCTTTGAGTCATGTCTTTCAGCTGTAAGTGCCTAAGTGAGGCCCCCCCAAGTGGGTCACCCCTGGTCCTCCAGGTTTGCCCCAATTCACTCATATATACATGACAAATATACAAATACACAATAAGTATTAACTAACACAGATGAAAACAGATAAGAGCCAGACTATCTGTGATCAGTACCAGACTCAAACCCAAATAAGAGTTTGAACCCCTGGGCCAGGTCTGGAGCACCTTTTTTCTTGACTTCTTGGGACTCAAATACAAGTTTTCTTAGGAGTCTCAGAGCTGGGACTCCAACCCACCAGGATCTCTCTTTGGGGGTGGGACTTGAATCAACAATAGTCATGAGACCAATCTTCTTAGGATGGGAATCTAGTAGATCAACAAGCCAGAGAAATTACAAGCACGTATGATGAGGTCACTCACCCATGTGACATCTGTTCCTAGAACTGTTTCTTCCTGCAACATGTAGATCATGACGACAACCTGGAGCACCACAGCAGGGTGGGAGCAATCCAGTCAAAGAAAGTCTAGACTAATCAGTCCTGGCGGCCACTCCATCTGAGTCACCAGTTTGATACCCAGCTAAGAGGCACACTGCTCCATGTGCATAATGCCAATATTATGACACCAGCAACTTGAAAGAAAAAAATGGCTAATTGCTAGGAGACTGGCAAGCGGACAGAGGTCAAAACTCATATCTGTCCTCCCATCCAGGAAAGGGGAGGTGTTCTGTTGATTTTGGGGGAATAGCTTCAAAAACAGAAGTACTAAATTTTATGGACTAAGTAGAAGGCTAAGGAAGGGCTAAAGGCAAGGGCATGCAGACTGAGCTGAAGTCTGTTGGATAGCTACAAACTGGCACATGGGAGATGCCCATTTCAAAAGTCTGGCTCTTCCTGGTGGAGAGACCACGCACCCAAAGCTGGGCCACGTTGTTCCTCTTCCGATTTTCTTTGTTCCATGTCAGCAAGTTCTAGGTCTTGTTTCTGGGAACCTAAGATCTGTTATTTCAACACAAAGGCAAGATCCTGCTCTGTTGTAAAGACAAACTCAAAAGGCAGTTTTGAGCACCCACCTCTGCCTAGCAGGTGGGCCCGGCAGTTGCCACGCCAGACCCTTTTCTCTCCAATGAAGGACGTTTATGAGAAGGCAAATACCAGATTTACGCAGACAAGACCGAAACCAGACAGGAAGCCCTGGTCCCTTCCTGATTCCGCCATGGGGAGGATGGTGTGTGTGCCAGGCGCTGTGCTGGTGCCTTTTACACACTGATCCATTTATTCCTCCTACCAGATCTGGGAGTTACTATAAAGAAACTCAGAGGGAAAATGTCCTGGGTTATGAGACACGCGTGGCTTTTCTGCTTTAGCCCAGGTACATCCCTGCATCTGAGGCACCTAGGAAAATTTGTACTGCAGGCGTGTTCCTGGAGACTTCTCTGGGGCCAAGTTTGCCTGAGATGCTGTTAAAATGGTGAACTGTTTGCAAGATTGAGCTCCTTGTTCCTGATCATCCTTGTTCACACCTTCCCTGAAGCGCCTGGCAGGCTCCACCCCTCCTTGGGCACCTGCCTCTCCAGGCATGGGACCTGCCAGTTACGCTCAGAGAGACGGGGCTCCCCCCAGTACCCTGTGAATTCAGTTCTCAAGGGAGCCTGGAGCTGCGGTCTGTGCCTGCAGCCCAGAGGCTCCTGCTGGACCTGAGGCGGCCGTTCCCTGAGCCTCTCACCGCCTCCCTCCTGGGCGCCGCCATCTTGAACAGGCCTGGGCGCAGGTACCCTCTGGGAACCCTCAAGGGTGCTAAAGGGAGGGGGCCCAGGGGGCTCAGAGGGAAGAGGAAATGTGATGATGGTAGTGGAGCCCTTGGGGAGCTCACTGCTGGGAAAGGTGGGACGACACCAGGCGCCGAGGGCCCCAGGAACCTCTCGAAGCTCAAGACCAGGAAACCCCTCTCGGAGCTGCCAGGAGCAGCAGGCATCGGACACTTGGATTTAGGGCTCAGGGCTCAGTGCCGTGTGAAGACAGATCTGGTCTGGTTGAGCCACTGATGTGTGGTAATTAGTGGAGCCAGCACATTCCAGGCGACGCCCCAGGGGCGCCTTCATTTTCCCAAAAAACAGGAAAAGAGGATGGATTCATTGTGTGTAC